CGATTGCCGTGTTCACATATGCCCAAACGAACCGAGCTAAGGGGGGGAAACGCGCCAGGTTCCGAAACAACGGGCCAGGTGTGAAAGCACCCTTAAATTTGCGACTCGAGTCAGACTCAAGTCAAGTCATGTGACTCGAGTCCCCCACCTCTGGGTCATGTTACATCCCAAATTAAAAGGTAAAAATTAAGTAATTATGATATAATAAATTATTATATAATTTTTTTTGTTTGTTTATTTTGCATTCTAGTAAAGACAATACAGTTTTTAAATTGTGATAATTTTGCAATATGCTAAACAATTCGGAAGGGTAAATGTCCTTAATTTTTTAAGAAAATAATTGCATAATGCACCTTAATAATCCTAATATAGCTTAGTTTTTTTAACTGAATATAATATAATATATAGACATGTTCTTGATCGTTCTTGACAATTATTTATTTGAATGTTGATGGACAATTAAGCACATTAATGCAGTAAAAGTAATTAATGTTTTTAAATTAATAATAATCCTAACAATAAATATTAAAAAAAATACTTAAAACAGCACAAAAATACTACAATGTATAATTGCTTTATCCTTTAAATAATATATATTTTTTTTTTTTTTTTTTTTGCACACCACTTGAGACCATACAGTTTTTAAATTGTGATAATTTTGGTACAGTATATACTGTAGTAAAGAATTTGGGGCTTAGAAAATGATAGCATAATGCACCTTAATAATGCTAAAATAGCTTAAATTGTATTTTTTAATTGTTAGATTCCCTCATATAGGTTAGTTCAGACTGTGTTAGGGAACAAAGCTCCCAGCTGTCACACCGGCTGGAGAAGCTGGTTCAATCGGACACCGCAGAACCCTGATCGGACGAGACTCGGCTCACAGACGCCTGAGCGCTGAACGTCTGCAAACTTGACAGTCTGTCTGCGCCACGGCACGTCCCGAGCACCTTCCCAGACATGAGGCCTGCTACATCCACTCAAACATCTTCCTCCCAACTCCAGCTGACAGCCACTCTGGCTGAATTAATATCAGACGCAGATGTTTTCATGTTTGTGGCTGTAGATTGTTGCATGAGAATTTCCCGGAGTTAAAAATACACATGCGATTTGTGACTTCTGACCCTGGCACTTACCGCATCTGTCTGTAACGGGACGGCACTGGTCTCTCAGAATGCCCAGGGCATGCACTCAGGGCGGTTGGGAGATTAGGGTCAGGGGCGCGCGGATGTGCCCTCTGCTTCTCTACGTGGGCCGGAGCCCTGCTCTGCATCTGAAATATTCATGCTGCTGTCAGGAGTTTCTTCCCTGCCCTAACTCTCAGGGTAATGCAGTTCTCAAACTTTTTGTGCACCATTGTGCAATTTTATTTAGTCAAAAATATACTTAACTTTGATGCGCAAATGCTTTACCGTTCTGAAGTTTCTTTGAAATATATTAAATGTGCCATTAAACCAGATGTGTTATTCAGATGACAAACATGCTGAAACGTTCTCAGCAAAATTCTTTCCAAACTATTGTTTCTCCATGACGCTAGTTGACCTGCAAGAGAAAACTGACTGACAGTTGCTTTGGTTTCTGTTCTGCTGTAATCTGCATTGCATTACTTTGAATTCAAAGGGATAATCCACACAAAATTAAAAAATATTTATAATTTACTGTTATTTTAGCATAATTGGGATGCTATTATTATTATTATTATTACTATTACTGATATTATTTTTACAGTTTAAATAATTTGTAATATTTAATTTTTTGACATAATTTGTAATATTTTATATTTCTTTTTATGTCTATATGTGTTTTTTCTTTTTAAGTGGAATATGTTTTTTTCCTTTTCTATATTTTAATTATATTTATTTATATTATTTTTTAAATATTTATAATTTATATTTACTTTTAATTTTAGTTAAAGTTTAGTTGGTATAGTGTGTTTTGTTTTTATTTTAAATATGCCTATATAGGTTTTATTAATTTTTATGTAGGTTTCAAAGCTCTATGCATTTCTTTTGTCTGAGGGTGAGTAAATGACACCAGAATGTCCTGTCCCTTTAAGTGCATTTATGTAGTCTATTTTATACCGCACACACGTGCCACATCAGCCGAGCTTTTTGATTGGTTCAAAGTTTGTGATGTAAAGAAGAAATGCGTTCTCTGGGGTCTTCCATCTGTTCCGCTCCCATTTTCCCAGATGGGGGAAAGGCTCAGTATTCCCTGACGGACCGCTGTCATCTGCCGCCCTCAGTTGTTTGACTTGCTCTCAAAATATGCAAACTCGCTAAGATTTACATCATTTACGTAAAATGCGATCCAATTTAATCTAAACAAGCGCTTTGTTGAACAGCCGCACTGCCAAAAAGTGTTAATTTGGCTCTCTGCTTGTCATACACACGTGTTTTTATTCTGTCTGGGTCAGTGTTAATTGATTATAATTGGTGATGTGACATTTGACAAGCTTCAAAACTGACCTTAGCGGAGAATTTGTGACTGTAAGTGTTTTGCTCCACTGTCAACATTGTTTTAGTCTAAACTTGATGTGTGTTCTCTTTAAATAACAGCGTTTGAGGCGGAGTTTGCCTCCGGGGCTTTTGAGACGCATTTCTTCCACGTGGACCACCACCACCTCAGCCACGGGCCTGCCCACCCTCGAACCCGGGCCGGTCAGACGGGACCGCAGTGCTAGCATCAAAGCACCTCACGATGGCCCTTCCAGCAGGTAATAAACACCCTGTTCTTATCCAGAACAATCTGTGTTTACCTTTAGTCACTTAGTTCATCAAACTATCTTACAAATGAACATGACTTAAAGGAATAGTTCCCCCAAAAATGCAAATTTGCTGAAATGCGCTCACCCTCAGGCCATCAAAGATGTAGATGAGTTTGTTTCTTCATCAGATTTGGAGAAATGTAGCATTCTATCACTTACTCAGCAATGGATCCTCTGCAGTGAATGGGTGCCGTCAGAATGAGAGTCCAAACAGCTGATAAAAACATCACAATAATCCACAAGTAATCCACACCACTCCAGTCCATCAGTTAATGTCTTGTGAAGCCAAAAGCTGTGTGTCTGTAAGAAACAAATCCATCATTAAGGTGTTTTTAACTTCAAACTGTTGCTTCTGACTAAAATATGAGTCCATAATCCATAATATTGCTTTCTTCATTGGAAAAGTCTTCTCATCTGAATCAGGAGAGAAATCTGCACAGATCAAGAGCTGTTTGCAAGCAAAACAGTTCTTTAATGTTTTGTGAAGCCAAAAGCTGTGTGTCTGTAAGAAACAAATCCATCATTAAGGTGTTTTTAACTTCAAACTGTTGCTTCTGACTAAAATATGAGTCCATAATCCATAATATTGCTTTCTTCATTGGAAAAGTCATCTCATCTGAATCAGGAGAGAAATCTGCACAGCTGTTTGCAAGCAAAACAGTCCAAACCAGCTCTATATAAATATGTGGCTGGATTTTGATGTGAGAGACAACAGGAGATGGACTTTTTCACTGGAGGAAGTGGTATTTGTTTCTTACAAACACACAGCTTTTTGCTCAAGATGTTAATTGCTGGACTGGAGTGGTGTGGATTATTGTGATGTTTTTATCAGCTGTTTCGACTCTGATTCTGACGGCACCCATTCACTGCAGAGGATTGATACGGTGATATCATCAAGCTTTAAGTGTTTCTTCATACTTTTGGTGACCAGCCCAGAATCTTTTCACCATCTTCCTTCATTTTTGTTCAGTGTCTTTGGTGTTTTAGTTTTTTTAGTGCATACACTATATATGTATATGAAGACAGAGAAATGCTTTACAAACACAAAAGCGTCCATTTGCTTCATTGTGAAGCATTTTATGTATTGTTTTATTATGTCAAACGTAACAAACAGCCTTTTTCATGAAATGTTTTGTTTGTACGCTTGTGCAGTCTAAATTGATTTGATATTTGGTAATCTAATGCAATGACATTTGCACGTTTGTCCAAATACTTCCCGGCTCGCCGTATGAAGTGTTTTGAAGCAACAATACATACGTTCGGAAAATATGAGTCCACGGAGAGTTTCTCAGGATTTACCTGACAGCACTTTTATCCGTTTGCCCTCATTTAGTTTTGTTTGTCATCATTATCTCGTCAGTTAGTGTTTCGCACAGCTGTTGCGGATCGCTGTCAAGCACTTGAACTTTCCAGAGCTCCTCCACGCCGTCTTACTCACTCCATCCCAATGTATGATTCAAATTTTATAATGTCCGTCTTTGGACATTTCTTCACCTTTATATCTCTTATTTCAGCTCGAGTTATACAGACCAGCTAAAGTTCAGCCCATTAATACTGATATCCAGATAGCCATCTGCACTGTGTAGACAGAGAGTTTAAAGAGGCTTCCTGGAGACTCGAGAGCCCGGCTTGTGTTTACATTTGGGCCCTGTCGAAATAAAAGCCCCGGTGAAAAATGAAGGGTCACAGGGTTGCCTGCATTACCATGTTGAGGCTGGTTTTAAAGTGGCGGGTCTCCTGCGCAGCGTCTTAATGGATATCTGAAGAGTGTTCCCACAGCAGGAGGCCTGTTCCGCTCCCTTTCTTTTTTAAAGTTGGCAGGGAAATTCAAGTTTAAATCCCTCTCCAAAAATAAGCCATTTGGACTGTTTTAACCCCAGAAAAAGAGCATTGTGTACTTTCTCATTTACAAGTTCGCCTCTTGAGAGGAAAAAGTTTATGCCGTGTTGAGTTAAAGTGAAGTGTCTTCATCGAGGACACAATGATGGTGGGATAAATAAACACTGGAGCAGGGTTGTTATTGCTAACTGAAAATAAAACAAAAATAAATAAATAATTTAAAAAATAATTACTTAAACTGAAATTAAACTGAAAAATACAAGTTAAGTTGAAGTACTAAAAGTAAAACGTAACACTAAAACTTGGTTAAACCTATATAGAAATAAAAAAAATTATAGTAAAATAATAAAAAATGACAAAAACACAACAAAATTACTAAAAAATAACATTAAAATGAAAAAAAAATAAAGCAAATTAAAGGAAATGTGTGTGCATACACACACACACACACACACATATATATATATGTGTGTGTGTGTGTGTGTGTGTGTGTTTTCCTCTTGAAGTACTAAAATAACTATAAATAAAAAAGACAAACACACAACGAAATTATAATAACAAATAAAATAACACATTAAAATGAATTTTTTTTTTTTATGAAATGTACATCAAAATATAAAAAAAGAATACACACACCAAAATATTAGAATATTTACATTTGAGTTTAATTAAATGACCATCCCTACAGTATAAATTCTGGATATCTCTTGTTCTTTGAAACCACAATAATGGGGAAGACTGCTGACTTGGCAATGCTCCAGAAGACAATCATTGACACCCTCCACAAAGAGGTTAATTCACAGAAGCTCATTACTTGAAAGGGGTGGCTGTTCACAGAGTGCTGTATCAAAGCATAGTAAATGCAAAGTTGACGAGAAGGAAGAAATTGGGTAGGAAAAGGTGCACAAGCAACAGGGATGACCGCAAGCTTGAGAATACGGTCAAGCAAAGCCGATTCAAACACTTGGGAGAGCTTCACAAGGAGTGGACTGAAGCTGGAGTCAGTGCATCA